TGAACCATTTGCTTTGTATCTGGCACTATGCCATATGCTGTACAAGTTTATCTAGTTTAATCTTAAAAATGACCATATCATTTTCATTTCATGTTTGATGAAACTAAGGCTCAGAAGGGTTAAGTCACTTAACCAAGGTCACACTAGTAAGTGATGGAACTAGAATTTGAACATAAGTCAACCTGGCCCCAAATGTGTGCTCTAACCACTCCACTGTGCTACCCTTTTCACATTATATCCCTCCCCCCACCAACAGCAGCCATGACACCATCAACAATCACAACCTCAACAGCAGCCATAGCGAAAGCAAGACATTTCCTGAAGAAGGACGGTGTTTGGTAGCATTTTGCCTGAATTACATTTTCCTACCTTAACACTCGGGACTCTCCTATTGGTCTACAACAGGGGACACTGGAAGAAACAACTCCATGAAACTGGTAGCTGTATTACCATGAGAGTTCTACTTCGGACGGTCATTACAGTGTCCACTGGAGTTCTCTCAGAAGAAACCTCTCTCTCTGCAACGGAAGCTACAGCCCCCACCCAGGGCTTTCGGCACTGCCCTCTAGTAAACGTGCAGGATTCTAGAGCAGGCATATTATGTCTCAGCTCGTGCTTGGCGGAATCCTAACTTTCACACTTTCTTTTTTCCCTCTTCCCTGATTGTCTCACAAACTGATTTTTATATTTTATATAGTTTGTATGAAATATTACAAGCAAACAAATAAATAAATGAATAGCCAATATACATTTCTGCTTTATAAACTTCCAAAAATAGAGCTTTTTCATGAAAGAACTGTGGACCCCTCCATAGTACACATGATGAGCATACATCTAACTAGGTGAGAGGTAATTGCACTTATCTACCCTTAGCATCATAGTTATCTTTACCTGAGACAAAGTGAAACTGTAATTGCAGTTTACATGATGGCCATCTGTCAAATATTACTGGGTAAATCACCACAGCTCACTTGAAATAAGGCAAACTAGAAAATCTGCAAGCTTCCTGCAACATTAGCCAGGACTCGGTAGAGATCAGTCTTGACAGGCAGAATTTGAGATTTAACCTTTTTTTCCATCATGATGTAAATCTATCTGAGTAAATCTTTACACGTTGGATGGTGTTTCTCAGCCACACACAGATGAGTTCAGTTAATTAACAAAGTACAAGCAACTGCTCTTCAGTCTTATTACATGAAGATGAAAAGGGCTGTGGGCAAGTTAATCTATTACTAGAAGAGTTTGTTTTCTTATTATTTGAAAATGTCTAACTATGTTAAAAGCTATGAAGTAAATAGAAAAGTTTATGTAACATGTTGCAAAGAAAGATGAGGTTCTTATACATATTTAACTTTTATGTGGAGAATAGGGATATGTAGAGAGAATATTATATATATACTATTATATATTACGGATATATTTATCTATATATATGAAATTGGCACAACGAGATTCATCATTTGGAAGTATGCAGTCTTTAAACTTCAGCTTGTAGGCAAGCCAATTTAGTATGGAGTGTAGATTGGCAATGTTAAATATTTATTATATTTGATGTTAATGAACACACAGCAATGAAAGATGAAGATAGAGTTTTACAACATTGTGCCTCTTTGGATTATAATTAGAACCTAACTTTGAACTCATTTAAATATCTGACAAAAATAATTAGTTTGTTGTTTCTTTTTAAAATGTCTGAAAGTATCTTTTTTTCTTCGTAATTAATAAACTAAATTCTCCATGATTTGTGGTAGACAACTGTCGTGGATGCTGTGGTGCGCCAGTGTGGTCCCTCTTCCCATCCCATCTGCTGGGACAGCAGGTGCTGAAGGCTCTCAGCCTCTCTCCTGGAACTGCCCTCAGTTGAGGAGAGCTGACTTGACCAGGTCACACAAACTGGTGGGGGTGGGGGGTAAAAGAGGAGCCCACATCCATTGACTAGGGTATGTGGGGAAACAAAGGCCCATTCAGCCTCTTTGCCTCAAGGTGGGACGACTCTGAAGGACCATCGAGCTCCAGAGCTCCCTATGTGGTCGTCATTTGTTGTACCTGCACTGCAGCTCAATTTCTCCCTCTGCCCAAACCTACCGCCTTCACTTCTCCAAGACGCTGTTCCCAAGAGCACTCTTCAATAGATGGCCTGCGTGCGTCTCTATCTCAGTCTGTTTCATGGAGAATCCACTTAAGACAGAGAAAAACTCTTTAGATATGCTCAGAGAAGAAAGATTAATATATAGCATTCTAATAAACTTCACCAGAAATTCTTTATAATGGTTTTAATTCAAACAAATTTATTAAACATCTATGATGTTCTAGGCATTGTGCTAAGCACTAAAGAGATAAACAAAATAGAATTCTTGATCTCAAAGAACTCGCCGTCATGAAGCACAGACATTACAAGTGAATATAATTCAATTGAGACAAGCCCTATATTAAGCACAGGGATAAACTGCTCTGAAAGAATTGAGAAAGGAATGCCCATCACTCCAGAGAGCCACGAGGCAGGAACGACTTCACTAGGGACATTTGAAAGACATCCTTCAAAAGGCTCAGGTCGTTTGAATCACTCTTTTCCTTCTTTCTCTCACATCTCACATCCAATCTCTTAATAAAAGCTATTACCTCTGTCTTTAAATACATCTAGAGGCCAGGTCTCACCACTACCACTGCTTCCAATCTGTTAACATCTCTCCTAGCCGCAGCCTCGTGACTGGTCTTCCTGTTTCTACCCTTGCCTATCATGGTCTGTTGTCAACACAGCAGTCAGGTGATTCTGCTAAAATAGAAGTCAGATCATGGATTCCTCAGCTTGAAAAAATTCTAAAGTTCCCACCCCATACTAAGAACCAAAGATGTTACACCTACAGGGTCCTAGGCCATCTCTACACTGCCCTTCCCCTTCTTACCTCCAGGCCTTTCCTTTCTCAGCTCACCTAGGAGTCTCCTCTCACTGTGGTCCTGCCACTTGGCCAATCTGGTCTTCTTGGAACCTGCCAGCACACTCCTGCCCCAGGGTATCTGTACTTGCACTACGTGCTCTTCCCTCTGCCTGACTCCCTCCCTCCCCTCCTTCAGCTTTCTTCAACTGTCAACTTCTTCGAGAGGCATTCCCTGACTACCCTCCCCCAGCACAACATAGGCCCCTTTCCTGCTTTACTTTTCTTCATAGCGCCTACCATCTGGTCTGTTCCTGATTATTCTTTATTTTATTTAGAGTTTGCTCTTCCTCCCCAGAACATAAGCTCCATGAGGGCAGGATCACTCAGAACATCAAAACATGGATCATGTTTTGTTTCTGGCTCCATACTCAATACCTACAATTGTCCCAAGAACAGAGTAAATTCTTACTAAATATTGTTGAGTAAATGAATTTTTACAAATAATGAAGGGAAGCAAAAGAAGAGTGAAGCCCTTCAGTATGAACAATAGTTGGAAAGCATAGAAATCAAAGTATTTCTAATCTAGTGTGACTAGAATGGAGAAATTCTCTGTGGTCAGAGCTGGAAACATAGGTTGCATATGTAAACCATGAAAATATGGTTGTTGTGGGCTGAATTGTGTCCCCCAAGTATTCACATGTTGAAGTCCTAACCCCCAGTACCTCAGAATGTGAATTTATTTGGAGATAGGGCCTTAAAGAGGTGATTAACTTAAAATGAAACCATTAGGGTGGCCTTAATCCAATCTGACTGGTGTCCTTATAAGAAGAGAAATTTGGACCTGGACAGTTACAGAGAAAAGACCATGTGAAGACAGAGAGAAGGTGACCATCTTCAACCAAGCAGAGAGGCTTCGGAAGAAGTCAGTACTGCTGGTTTTTTGATCTCAGCCTTCTAGCTTCCCGAACTGTGAGAAAATAAATTTCTCTTGTAAGTCACCCAATCTGTGGTACTTTGTTATGGCAGCCCTAGCAAACTAATACAATGATATATGCCATGGTAAGAAATTTTGCCTTTATCTCACAAGTCACTGTGAAATTTTAAGCAGGGATGGAGAGGAGCTGAGGTGACGAAGATTCCTTTTGCGGTAATGGGAAAGAAGGAGTGGAGCAGGGAAAAGACTTGCGCCATGGACGCTAACGGAGAGGTGTTTGCAACGGTTGGGACCTAGATCAAGGAGAAAGGAAGGAAGAGGAGAGAACGGAAGTGGGAGAAGCATCAGAGCCAGGATTGTGGGGACTTAGTGACACATCAGAGGTAAGTGATATCAACATCCACACAAAACGGCGCTTACAAAATGCAGGCATGCAAAGAGGGTCAGATAATAAAACTTACATGGATTTCAGGGGTCTCATACTTGAGAAAATTTTTCAATATGGAACTTAAGACAGATCATAGCAGCATTCATGCTGCTAAAGGTGTAAATAATACTCATTTAGAAAAGGGGTCTGCAAAGAGAGCTGCAGGCTACATCTCCTTCTTGGGGATAATATGCACATTAGCATATTAAAGAATCTGAGAAGAAAACTCTTGAACTTTTTCCAAAAAAAGTATTTCCTACATTGATTTCATTATGGAACCCTTTTTTGTGAGGCACCTTTAACCTCTCCCCAAACGTGAATACTCTAGAAATTAATGCACTTTGGAAAATAGTGGTGTTTCTTGAAGCACTAGAATGGTTCCAAAATAAATCGAGAAGCTTTGTCTGGGTAATCTCTATGTCCAACAGCAAAACTAGTCAACATTGTCTTAACAAATTAGCAGAATAAACTCATTAAAGGAATATACTTGGTTTTCCTATAACCTAATTACTACCAGATTAAAAAAAAATTCAGAATCTTTTGAAAGTAGCACTAATTCTTTCACATCCCTAAAGGAAAACTACTCAGCGTCTTGAAACAAAAGATAAAATATTCTAGGACTTAAGGGAAAAGTGTAGTTCAAATGCAGAAATCTGGGAGTAGTTTTTGACCAGGTTTCTTTGATGCTAGAGCAGCCATGCTCTAAATTTTCCCATATTCCAGCAGTTTCCGAAACCCACGGTGTCCGGGCGCAGTGACTCACACGCGATGCGCACGTAGGCCTTCCGGCTCTTCGTGGTGCCCGCTGAGCTCCAGGCCACGCACTGGCACCAGTAATCTTCAGGCCCAAAGAGTTCTTCCACTTGCTGGCGCGAAATCTCAATGCTCACTTCCCGGACGATGAGACCTGATCAGAGAAAGGAAGATTTAAGTCAGGAGAAGATTCTACTAAAGAAATACAAAACTTTATACCGTAATTTTTCCCCCATTGATCCTTCTTGATGCCTTAGGTCAACATCCAGATGTTGTCTTTCATCTCCTCTGAGTCTCCTCTGGCTCCAGCTAGTTGACACAACTTTGTCATTCTCTGATTTGCTATTTCAAATCTTCTGGATTCATCAGAAGATGAAAGTGGAGTAGGTCTATCACTCCACAAAATTACACCTTTCCCCATATTTTCACCCTCCACCAAGTTATCTCCCTCTGTCTGTTCAGACGTGAACTTGAATTTCACATCTTCTGAGGTTTCTACCCTCAACCGTATAGGTTGTGGGTAAGATATCCATGTGTTGTACAGCGCTTGACAAATCTAAATCTTCTTAGGAAGACTTAGTTCACATGAAACGAGAGAGAATCATCTAAAATTATAATCATAAGTACATATATCATAAATATATATACATACATACTAGGTTTCATTGTAATATCATCTAGTAATTTACAAATATGTGGTGATTATTTAACAACTAAATTACCTTAACAGTTGGGTTTCAGTTATTAAGGCACATTGCTTTTCTTGAAAGAAATACTAGCCTTCGTTAACAAACCTCTGCTATTCTCTCCAAAGAACGTATGACTTCAAGGTTTTTATGCATGATATTTTGAAAGCCCAAATGTTTCTGTATAATTGTAATGTACCAAAATCCTGTTATAGTGGCCTCCAGTTAAAATGCTCGAATAATTGGAATTTATCTCACAGAATTATGTAATCCTAAATAACAAAAATTGAGCTAATAATCTGGGATTATCATTTTAGGGGTATTTACCTTGAGATATCAAAGCCTATTTCAGAGATTCGTTCTGCAACGTACCTTTTTGCACTGAGCAAGAAGGATTATCTGAACAATATATGTGGACAACCGCCAGTTCTCCACACACACTTCCAGAATGAGAGATGTAGGAAGGGCACCCTTAAAGAGTAGGAGAATTTGCTCTGGGTCAAGTATGAGCTCAGCAAGAAAGATTCAATGTATTGCTTTGTACTATTTATTCATTCATGCATTCATTTATTTATTGAATATTTATTAAATATCAATTACGTAAAAGATATTGCAATAGGCACTTGTGAATCTCTGATGAGTAAAATAGTCATTGTCCTCAATGAACTTATATTATTGTGGGGAGGGGACATATTAACTATAGATTACACGACTTATTATTTAATTACAACTGTGTTCAATGCTACAAAGGAGGAGTAGAGAGACAATGAGAGCGAATAACAAGGGGACCTGGCTTAGAATGAAGGATCCAACATGAGTTAGGTTGGGGAGAGGGACAGGACATATGAGAAGAAGGAGGAAAGAGCATGAGGAGATTGAGAATCCAGGAGAAGACAACTAAGCACTGGACACAAAGAATAGCGGCATGAGATGAAGCTAGAGACAAGAAAGGGACCAGTTCACATACAGTAGACCAGTGGTTCTCAAAGTGTGGACCCCAGAACAGTTTCATCAGCATCACCTGGGAACTTGTTGGAAATGCAAATTCTTGGGCCCCACTCCAGGTTCACTGAATAGAAACCTTTGAGAGTCAGGCCAGCAATCTGTGTTTTTTAACAAGCCCTCCGAGAATTCTGATGCACGCTACAGTCTCAGAGCCACTGTTGTACACCATGTTTAGGATTTGGGATTTCTTTCTGAGAAAAGTGTTTTAAGCAAGTGGATGACATAATCAGATGAGAATTTAATATTTGATTAAATATATGATAATCTCTATCTTGATATGGACAAGATAGAGAGTTTAACTAGTTCTTTAGAGTTTAGTTCCTAAAAGTTACAATTTCTTAAAATGTTTGATCTTGACTTCTTGGTACAGGTGACATGAAAGAGGTGTCATCTGGATATCCTAAAAAGTATTCCAGAACTTATCCTAAAACCTAGCACATGCTCAAGTGGGTAAAAGCACTCATGGAAATTAACACCCACCGGACAGTAGTAGGTGCTGTCCCACTGGGGGGATAAACAGTACTTCCTATCAGGAGCTGATGGGACTGAGTCATAGAAACGACTAAGCCCTTAGGTCTACTCAGGAGTTCCTGAACTGGAAGGAAGCCCAGGAAAGTGAGTTTTATAAGCCCAAGGCAGGGCAAGATCCTGAAGGGATCAAAAAGTTGATTAAGTATGTTTAAAACTATGTTATAAAGTTTTGAAAATTAGCAATCCTTTTATGTTTACATAGTGATCAGTTTAAAAAGAATTTTCAAGTAACTGGAACATCCCAATCCCTCACCCCTCTAAGAAAAGATTAGTATATTATTGTAGCCAATGTCCAGCTAATAAAACAATCTCCACAGCAAAAAATCCCAACTTATTAACATTACTTTCCTGGTCCCTGCTGAGGCCTCTCGTTTGCCTCTTGTAAGTATTCTCATTGTCCTGATATCTGGAAATCCATGCAAAGACAGAGCACAGCTCTCCCTCCTCTTCCCCCACCTTTCTTTTTAAACCACTTTCTGGTGTTTAATACTTTTGCCTATTTTACTTGTTTACACCTTCTCTCTTCATGTAGCAATTCAGTTACTGGAAACAACACTCTTCCTTTAAAGGTTGTTGCTATAAATTTACAGTCACCAAAGGGCTGGTAAACCTGCAGAGCGTATTTCCTCAGCACTATAATGGCTCTTTCCCAAATGCAGAGCAGCAGCAAATGGGCTCAGGATATTAAAACCACATACAAATATTTTGTGTCCCAAGGTGATAACTTCAGGTTTCAAACCCTGCCCCCCTTTTACTTAAAGCAATTACAGGAAACCTAATTAGATGCCAGGGGAACTGCACTAGGGCCACTGTATCCTTTAGTCCAAATAGGCTCATGGATGTTTCTACTGCCCACAAACCTGAAGCCGTTTAAGAAGCCACAGACCAACCCTCCTGCTGCAGGGATTATTCATAGTATGAATGTTCTGAATTGTGCGGCCCAGGCTCCCTGTGGGCACAGGAGTCGAGCACACACCGATTTTTGTCTTCAGCTGCACAGACGCCCCTTTCAGGAGGAGAGGGATTAATTACAGTTGTGTACAGTTGTACTGCCACATGCCCAAAGTTTACATGCCAACTTTTGGTCAATGACTCAAGAACAAGAAAGAACTGAAGCATAAAGTACCTACAGTTACACTTACAGCTTAGAATTCCCTAGAATTAGCTGCATTACTCAGATTCTGAGTTACTTGGTTGCATACCATCTTTCCATTGCCATAGGTAAGTTCATTACCTATGACATTCTGTTCATCAAGCCAGAGGCTAGTGGTTTGGGTAAAAGTAGGTAATATCCTTTCTCTTTGTAAGTGCAATTTCAAATCCGCTTGAAGTCTTGAGACGGAAAAAGCAAGCTGCCTTGAAATTTGAAATGCCATCAGTATTACTTCCAAGCCAGGTTGCTTTGAAGAGCAGCTGGGAAGTTGAAATTGGTTTCAGGTTATTTAAGGGTGGGGAGGGGCGGAAATGCTTCAGTCTACAGGATTTACTCAAATACAAATGCGTATTTTCCATCACATCTGATAACATCAAAGATTTCCCATCACTCTTCTTCCTTTAATAGCGGCATCTCAAGGATGGGTGCTGTTTGAAGTTTGCAGTGATTTGCTTTTATGATAGGATTCATTGTGGTTTGGGAGCCAGAGTGCAGGAAAGTAATTAGCATGCTATACCAAGAAGTCTTTAATGAGTACGAATATGCATTTGTTAACAGGGAGTTTCAAAAGATTTTAGAAATCCAGATGCAAATGCAACCCTCTGATTGGATCTTTGTGAGGCTATACATGAATATGACAATAAAATCTCGCAAATGACATTTATTACTTATCTTTTACATAATTTTAATTGCATAATAGTGTTTTTCATCACAAATAGTGTTTTTCTAGGAGATTACTAGAAAGTGATCACAAATACATGATAAAAACTGTTACATAATTGTTTAAAACAATATCCACATTCCCCCAGAAATGTAATCAGTAGTGCTATCAACAAATATTAAAAGTCCACTAACGTCAAAAATTACGTTCCAGAAATGTATAGATGGATCAAACAGCACCTCCAGCTTTGTGCTGTTTATTTATCTTGTTTATTAGATATCCTCAAAAATCATGCATCATCTTAAAAGATTTTTAAAATGTGGTCATCAGATCTACACCTTCTGATACCCTGCGTACGTTTCACTAAAAGCATCCTAATTGCACGTTAGACTTAGGTGTCATGTGTGCCTGAGTTGTATTTCTCATTCGTCCCAATTACTTCATCTTTCCTATAGCAGAGCGGAGTTTTGAGACATCATGTTGTGCAGACCTGGCAATTCTACTTCTTCCAGCACTTCCCTGTTGGGAGAAGAGCTGCAGAGGCCACCCTACCAAATCTCAGTACAGTACATTCACAGTTAGGACACGAGTTGGTGGGAAAGGCACAAAGCTGCAGGTAAGGATGTTCTGGAATATATTACAACATTTTATTGAATTAGTGTGGTCTCTTTTTCATGCTTTTATCCAGAGCTTAATCCTATTAGTTTTCACTAACATGATCTAAATATGAAACATATCAGTTCTAGATGTCTTAACATGAATTAAATCATACAAAATACCATCATTATTTAAAAGGATATCATACCATAAAAAACTGATAATTATTTTAGCAACTTATAACTCTCACTAAAATGGTCAAGATATGATCACTTGAAAGGCAGAACTTAACAATCAAGACATTGTTTTATGTTACATAAAGTCATTTGACAATCTTGAAACTACATCAGGAAAAGAAGACACTATAAACACACAATTTAGTAACTTTCCTCTGAAATGTTTTCCTTGAATTTTTAATATAATACTTAATATATAAATAGGCCATTTAATTAACTAAAATTATTTTGTGTAATTGAGAATTACAACTTACTGATGTATTAGATTTATTATGAGTATAATCC